TTTCAATGTAGTATGACCGTAAGCACAATACGCCACCAGCTAATTCAAGGTTTCAGTGGTTACCCATCTAGGCAGTAACCAGACTCGATGTTCCTTAACTTCAGTGATCGTGTGTGAATCGTTGTTTCAACATGATGTGGCCTTAAGCTCATTACACCACCCGTGCATTCGAACTTACAGAACCAGTTATTCCCAAGCGGTCACCCATCTTGGCTCTAACCAGGCTGGACGTTACTTAACTTCGGTGATCGTACGGTTTAACTTCGGTGATCGTACAGGAAGCGGTGTTTCAAAGTGATGTGGCCCAAAACGTTACACAATACGGACATTTAAGCTTACAGCACCAGATATTCCCAAGCGGTCACCCATCTAGGCACTAACCAGGCACGACTTTGCTTAACTTCGGTGATCTTACAAGAAATCAGTGATTCAAAGTGATGTGGCAGTAGTCGCAATATAGCACTAGCTCATTCAAGCTTAGAGCGGTTACCCATCTAGGTAATGACAAAACTCGGTGTCCCTTTAACTTCCGTGGTCGTATGTGAATCACTGTTGCAACATGATGCGGCTGTAAGCTCATTGCACCACCCGCGCATTCAAACTTACAGAACTAGGTATTCACAATTTGTCACTCATCTGGGCACTAACCAGGCCCGACGTTGCTTAACTTCGGTGATCGTGCGGTTTAACTTCGGTGAGCATCCGGGAACTCGTATTTCAAAGTGGTGTGGCCAAAAACGTTACACAACATGCACATGAACCTTACAGCACCTGATATTACCAAGCGGTCACCCATGTAGGTACTAAGCAGTCTCAACGTTGCTTAACTTGGGCGATCGTACGCGATCCGGTGTTTCAAAATGATGTGGCACAAAACGTTACACAACACGCACAGTGAAGCTAACATCACCTGATATTACCAAGCGGTCACCCATGTAGGTACTAAGCAGTCTCAACGTTGCTTAACTTGGGCGATCGTACGGGATCCGGTGTTTCAAAATGATGTGGCCCAAAACGTTACACAACACGCACACTGAAGCTAACAGCACCTGATATTCCCAAGCGGTCACCCATCTAGGCACTAACCAGGCACGACTTTGCTTAACTTCGGTGATCTTACAAGAAATCAGTGATTCAAAGTGATGTGGCAGTAGTCGCAATATAGCACTAGCTCATTCAAGCTTAGAGCGGTTACCCATCTAGGTAATGACAAAACTCGGTGTCCCTTAACTTCCGTGGTCGTATGTGAATCACTGTTGCAACATGATGCGGCTGTAAGCTCATTGCACCACCTGCGCATTCAAACTTACAGAACTAGGTATTCACAATTTGTCACTCATCTGGGCACTAACCAGGCCCGACGTTGCTTAACTTCGGTGATCGTGCGGTTTAACTTCGGTGAGCATCCGGGAACTCGTATTTCAAAGTGGTGTGGCCAAAAACGTTACACAACATGCACATGAACCTTACAGCACCTGATATTCCCAAGCGGTCACCCATGTAGGTACTAAGCAGTCTCAACGTTGCTTAACTTGGGCGATCGTACGGGAAACGGTGTTTCAACATGATGTGGCCCAAAACGTTACACAACACGCACATTGAAGCTAACAGCACCAGGTAGTCCCAAGCGGTCACCCATGTAGGTACTAAGCAGTCTCAAAGTTGCTTAACTTTGGTGTTCTTACAGGAACCAGTGCTTCAACATGATGTGGCCGTAAGTGCAATACACCACCAGCTCATTCAAGCTTTCAGCGGTTACCCATCTAGTTAGTGACCAGACTTGGTGTTCCTTAACTTCGGTGATCGTATGTGAATCGCCCTTTCAACATGATGTTGTCGCACGCCTTGAAAGATCACTGCATACAGTTTATAATCACGTGTCTGAAGGCGATGTAACGGTTCAGCAAGATTTCGACTACATTCAATAAGTGAAGACGATTACTCATCATCAAAGCGCATCTAATCAATAAATGAGGAGTTTATACGACATCAATCTGATAACTTCAGCATCAAACGAGAGTAGCTACCAATTGGACATCATTGAATCTCAAGTGTTGTGATTGGCAACGAGGGGCGAATATTGGTCGACTAAAATTACTAATCTAAACAAAATCATCGAGCGAGCAACAATGTAAATTTATTGTTGAAGACGGACGAACACACAACGCTTGATTCAATCCATCATTTCTTATGTGCCACAGGACATGAATGATCATGTCTCTCCACAACATCCCTATCACTTGTCCCTTTAATATCCCGAGTAGACATACAATCACATCTTCCATTAGTTTCCCAATGCCGTAACATATCTTCCCTGGGCCGTTTCTCTCAATATAACCAGGTAACACAGGGTACCCAGGAAGTCAAAAAGCGATAATTTCAGAAAGACTTAAGACAACCGTTGTAAACTGGTGAACGATTGATGTGACTGTAAAATTCAGGAAGAATTTCTGCACATTTCGTCAATCCCTACGTCGGATGTTCTTCTTTGAAAAGTAAGATAACTTGACGCTCAAAATCAATGAGTTGTTCAGCCATTTGTGAAGGGCAGAACGAAAGAGAAAACTCGTCTGCAAATAACAGTTAAATGACGAGTCACAAGATCAAGGAGAAATTAATCAATCGTGAAATAACCAATCAGAGTTAAGTAATTACGCGAGAGTCAAATGATTACTCAACGTCATGAATATTCAAGAAATTTATTCATGGCCTATTATTCCAAAAGGATAAAATGGCGATAATAAATTTGCCGCTTTGTTTTTTTTTTTTTTTTTTTTTCTTTTCTTTTCTTTTTTTTTTCTTTTTTTTCTTTTCTTTTTTTTCTGAATGAGATTTCCGGTTTCTTACCTCGAGTTGGCAATTTTAAGCGCAGTAGAACAAATCAAATATACAAAAAATCAAACTAGTATATATATATATATATATATATATATATATATATATATATATATATATATATATATATATATATAAATTTAATGAAAAATACTATATTTTATTTCAATAAAATCCTTTTTAAAGGATTTCGGATCATCAGGAAGTGTTACCTGATGATCCGAAACTTTAAAAAGGATTTTGGTGAAATAAATTATTGTCATGGTACCTTGAAGTGTCTGTTTTTCATTAAATATTAGCTCTGTTCTTTACATTGAGCTCTCAGGATTTCATCCTCCTTGGATTTACCAATTGGTTTACCAAGTTCTTCATAACTTAATTATATATATATATATATATATATATATATATATATATATATATGGAAAGTGTTATAATAAAAGGCGGAAAGTGCGAGACTAAAATCTGAAGAAGCATTCAGATAGCCAAACATGCATTCCAAAAGCTAATCCCGTCCTGGGTATGATGATAAGCCACATCCGCGTCCTGGGTAAGACGATAAACTACGTCCGACAGCAATGCCTCTGATCAGAAGGTTTTGAGGAGCATGGAACCAACTCTTTATTGCTGGTGTTCCCAGGTCCACCTTGAACCGGGGTGGTAGCAGCTGTTAGGGCCCCAGATATAGTTAACCCCCAAACCGGGGTGAAAACACTATGAAAGTGTAAAAATAGGTTTTAATACCAGAAATGCTTTGTAAAAAATGTTTACCAGAAATAAATTCTTCAAGGAAAAAAAAACTATTACCAGCAATATATTACTGAAAGAAAATATTACCTGCAATACATTTGTTAAAATAATATTGGTAGCTATACATTTTTGAGGAAAAAAATATTACCAGAAATACATTTCTGACAAAAAAATATTACTAGGAAAAAAAGTTGTCGGCATTAAATAACCCATTGGTGTTGATATGCCGTAAAAGAAACCAAACGAAACCAAAAGCTAAAAAATAGACTAATAAAAACGAACACTTCGTTAGAAACAAAGAAAAGAGTACTGAACTGTTATGTAAGGTCAATACTCTTATATGGCAATGAATGCTGGGTAATCTCCTATCTAGATAAAGAAGGGACTTGAAGCAAAAGAAACAAAAAGAATCCTGAACTGTTATATAATATCAGTCCTCCTATATGGCAGTGAATGATGGACAACCTCCTCACAGATGAAGAAGAGACTTGAAGCAAAAGAAACAAAGAAAAGAATACTGAACTGTTATGTAATATCAGTCCTCCTATATGGCAGTGAATGATGGACAATCTCCTCACAGATGAAGAAGAGAATTGAAGCAAAAGAAACAAAGAAAAGAATACTGAACTGTTATGTAATATCAGTCCTCCTATATGGCAGTGAATGATGGACAACCTCCTCACAGATGAAGAAGAGAATTGAAGCAAAAGAAACAAAGAAAAGAATACTGAACTGTTATGTAATATCAGTCCTCCTATATGGCAGTGAATCATGGACAATCTCCTCACAGATGAAGAAGAGAATTGAAGCAACAGAAACAAAGAAAAGAGTACTGAACTTTTATCTAATGTCAATCCTCCTATATAGCAATGAATTCTGGATAATCTTCTATATGTATAAAGGGACTTGAAGCAATAGAATCAAAGAAAAGTGTAGTGAACTGTTACGTAATATCAATCCTCCTATATGGCAGTGAATGATGGACAACCTCCTCACAGATGAAGAAGAGACTTGAAGCAAAAGAAACAAAGAAAAGAATACTGAAATGTTATGTAATATCAGTCCTCCTATATGGCAGTGAATCATGGACAATCTCCTCACAGATGAAGAAGAGAATTGAAGCAACAGAAACAAAGAAAAGAGTACTGAACTTTTATCTAATGTCAATCCTCCTATATAGCAATGAATTCTGGATAATCTTCTATATGTATAAAGGGACTTGAAGCAATAGAATCAAAGAAAAGTGTAGTGAACTGTTACGTAATATCAATCCTCCTATATGGCAATGAATGCTGTATAATCTTCTCACAGATACAAAAGATACTTGGAGCAACAGAAACAAACAAAATGGTACTGAACTGTTACATCAGTCCTCTTATATGGCAGTGAATGCTGGACAATCTTCTCATGAAGAAGTGACTTGAAGCAACACAAACAAAGAAAAGAATACGGAAATGTTATGTAATATCAGTCCTCCTACATGGCAGTTAATGCTGGACAATCTCTTCACAGATGAAGAAGAGACTTGAAACAACAGAAAGAAAAGGGAACTAAACTGTTGCGTAATATCAGTCATCCTATATGGCAGTAGATGGAGACTTGAAGCAACAGAAACAAAGAAAAGAATACTAAACTGTTATGTAATATCAGTCCCCCTATATGACTGTAAATGCTGGACAATCTCTTCACAGATTAAGAGGAAATTTGAAGCAACAGAAACAAGGAAAAAGTGTACTGAGCTGTTATGTTATGTAATATCAGTCCTCCTATATGGCAGTGAACGCTGGACACTATCCTCTTAGATAAAGAAGTGACTTGAAGCAACAGAAACAAAGAATACTGAAATCTTATGTAGCATGTCCTCCTATATGGCAGTGAATGCTGGCCAATCTCCTCACAGTTGAAGAAGATAATTGAAGCAAGAGAAATCTTGTTCTACAGAAGGATAACGAGGATAATTTGGACCGAATATGTGATCAACGACAGTTTTAGAGAAAAGCGAAACAGAAAGGGTGCTCAGAGGATATATTGGCGGCAAGAGGAGCCTAGGAAGACAAAATATGTCATACTTAGTGGGTTTGAGTTAATGGATGACGGAACAGGGTTTATGTGAAATAAAAATACAGAATTTATTAATATCTACGACAGGATATTGCGGAGAGCCATGTTCGTCTACATCTTGACGAAACACACACATGAAGAAGGAGACGACAGTATTAGTAGCTAGGTCTCATCATTTTTCTCTTGAAATAGCTAGATGCAACAGTAATTTCTATGCTAATATTTTCTTCTCCTGAACTTCGCACATGTGGAACTCTCTTTCAGATATCCTGATTTCTTGTTAAAAATTAAATGCAATGTCAATCGTCATGTTCTGTCCACTTGAAATCTATTAATTTATTGTCCTTTTTATCGATAACGTGTTCTCAGTTTCTGCAGGCCCCTTGCTTCCCAGATACTTTATTTCTTTGCTTGGAGCGTAATGATTAATATTTTATATAAACAATTCTTTCTGTGTGAATTTATAATTTATAATAGTCACTATTTACTTTCTTTAGATGAGAACTACTGTTCTTCATCAGGTGTGTATCGATCTACGTAATCTACAGTGCTGTTCGATAAAAGTGACTTACCTATTTTTTTTTTTAATTAAAAATTTTTTCGACTATTGTTTTTGGGGTCAAACTAATTATTAATCTTACTAATATAAAGACCCCTTCCCGAGCACCTAGTAAAAAAAAGGTGACTCTCCCTAAGGTATTCTATTGATAATTATAATTTTGGATATAAATGAGATTTAGGTAAAAACTCTGTGCAAAAAAAGTGACTCACTTATTTCCTGCAACTAGTAATCAATAGAAACATAACCGAACAGCTTTAAATAAAGAATAATAGAGGTATAATTTATTTATAATAGGTAATATAGTTCGAAATATTTAATAATCTATGGGTCCTCCTTTAATTTGAATAACCTTTTCAACCCTTTTTGGCATTGACTTGATTAGGTTCTGGCAAATCTCATCTCCAAGCATTGAATTCCATTCGGATATGAAATTCACAATCAAATCCTCTTTGTTGCTCAACTGATTTCTCGACAGCCTGTACTTTATAATGCTCCATAAGTTTTCTATGG